TCTAACAGCCTTTGAGCTCCTGCTTGACTTGGCCTCCAGAGTCTAGGCCTTTTAGATGGGGTCCGAGTAGATGGGGTCGGAGGATCGCGCCGCATCGCCGATGCATCACCGATGCGGCTCGATGTGGAGGCCGTGGTTCACCACGCCGAAGGCACCGATGCATCGCCGACGTCGCCGATGCATCGACGATACATCGGCGACGTATTGGCGATGCGGCGCGATCCTTCGACCCCATCTGCTCGGACCCCATCTAGGAGGCCTCTACAGAGGCAGTGGATCAGGCGGCACGACGGCACGTTAGAACGCCTGGGTGCGCGCCGCAGTCCTGCAAGCCGCTTCTGATGGTCGTGTTGTTAGGGCTGCGCTTCGGTCTACCAAATGGCATCGGCATCGGGGACCATAAAGCATTACTCATCATCGTTGGAACTCTCTTTGCGGGGATGGGAGCTGCGACACCCAGAGGAGACGACACCCGCCCCCACCTGGGGGGGATAGCTCGGCCAGCGGGGCAACGGTTGTCGTGGACGGGGCGGGGATGGTTTTTCATTTCCAGAACTGTGGTGCATCCCAACTCCAGCAGAACCCCCCCTCCCCAGACCCCCTTGTCCTGGCGCGCCGAGGGCGGCGCCACAGGATCCCGCACGGGGTGTGGAAAGGGGGATGACGGGGGGCCCGGCGCCGACACGCCAAATCCGCCCGGACCTCCCCGAGCATCCTCTCGGCCGGAGCTGCGGAAGGAGCACCGTGCAGGGAGCACCCTGGCGGCAGGCGCTGCTCGGGGAAAGAGAGGGGAGACGGCAAATCCCAGCGCTCAGCGCGCGCTCCGAGGGAAGCAGGCCCCCCCCGCGGGGGGGGGGGGGCGGGGTCTACGGGTCGGAACAATGGTCAAGCAGTGGCGAAGCGTCCCGTCTCGCCTATAGCCCCACCAAAGAATGTTCTAAGACCCTTTTGTGGTTTCCACGAAATGGTATTCGAACATTTGTTTTATCACATCGGGCTTATGTTCTAAGAACACTGTTTTTGTGATTCGAACATGTTCGGGTTCTGAGAACATGTCGTGGTAGGGCTGCAGGACTGCCGGGACGGTCGGTCCCTGCTCAAACAGTGGGGAGTGGAGGGTGCAGGCCCTCGAGGAGCCTACCACGTGCACGTACCCTTCGCCCCCGCCGGGGCGCGCCGCCTGCGCCCCTGCCTGCGCCCCTGCCCCCCCCCCCCCGCCGAGGGCGCGCGCTCGACCCGCTCGTCTTCTTGGCCCTTTTGGCGCCCCCCACGGGGTCGCCCAGAGGCGACCTCGCTACCCAGACCCCCTCGGGCAATGACAAAAATCACGAGGAGGGGTTTTTCACAATGTTCGGCCTCGAGGGGCCCTCACCGGGCCTCGGGACCGTCAGAAAACAGCTCGGGATGAAAGACGGGTCCCGGGAAATAGGTCGAAGCCTCTGGGGGTCGACGTCATGAAAAAATAATGACGTCGGGGGTCTGGGTAACTCAGTTGGGCCAATCCGCCAATCCACGTCGGATTTGCACACCCTTATTTTGGTCCACACCTCCTGGGTTGGAGAGGTGTGCCTGGAATTCAGGGGTGCCGTTAATGCTACGCTGGCTCGGCGCGATTGGTTGTCGCGCGATGTTGCAGCGATCTGTTCCGTCCGGCACGTCAACTCCCAATCTCAAGCCACATGCCTTCTACTCTGCCTGCAGATTCTCATAATCAAGAGGGCTTACGCCATTCCGCCGACCCACAGAGGAGGGAAGAAGTCCACGTGAGAGGCCCTGGGGGGCCTCTTGGGGACCCTCTGGGCGCTTTTTGGGGCGCCTCTTGGGGGCCCCTTCGGGCCTGTTGGGCGCTGCTTGTGGCGCGGCAGGAGCACATCACCGTGGACCAGCGAAAACGTCCTTTGAAGAAGGGGAGTAGGGTGGTGTGGAAGGGTGGCGTAGAGAAAGGATTCACGGCGAGATCTTGGGAGGCGTTTGGGAGCTCGGGCCCACGCGGCAAGAGGCTACCTCGGAGCGCTTCTTTCTGAGCGCGGCAGCAATCTCGCCCTCATCGCTCGGCAAGGACAGCCGAAGCGCACCAATTGTCGCACCCTGTGGCCTGGAGGTGGACGCGATGCAGGTGGCATGAAGCTGAGGCAGCGCGTAGGAAGGAGAGTGTGGGTCAGTGTGCTCCTACATGTCCCGGTGGGTGCGTCCGCGGGCTTGCCGGGGTCGAGGCTTTCTGCGGGCGTGCGGGACAGCATCCCCGAGCATGGGAAATGCGTGGATTGAGGAGGAGGAGGAGGAGGAGGAGGAGGAGGAGAAAAGAGGGCGAGGCGGAGGAGGAGGCGGCGAAGCAGGAAGCGTGGAAGACGAGGAGCATGCGCAGGAGACGGCAGAAGAGGAAACGAAGGTGGAAGTGCTGGGGGGCGCAAAGGGGGAAGGAAGCGACGGTGTAAAGGAGGACGTGCAGAGTGAATACGAGAAGGGGAGCGATGCGGCGCGACGGTCCGGTTTGAGCTAGCGCGCGACATCTTCGAGCCGTGGTGAGGGGTCTTGAATCTTGAGAAAACGTCATGAAACGAACGTGTGACAATGCAGCAGGGGTTCGGGGCAAGTCCTGCACCGCCTTCGGGTTGTGGGACGAAAGCTTCGTGGATGCCTGTGGCATGTTTGGGAAGCGTCCGGGGCGCCTTTTGGAGACATGTTGGAGTCTCTTCGGATGCCTCTCAGCAGCCTCCTGGACCGTGCGTCGAATCATTTAGGGGGCCTTTTGGTGGCTCTTAGCGACCTCCTCTCGGAGGGCTCTTGGGGCCTCGTGGGGGCGGCTTGAAAGGCTTCTGGGGGGCTCTCCGGGCCATGTTGGGGGGGGGCTCGAATTGTCAGTTCGGATTTCCCTTCTTTGGCTTCCCTTAGTGCTTTCTTGGGCCGTCTTGGGAGCCCCATGGGGCCTGTTTGGCCGCTCTTGGGGGTCTCTTGGGCCGTCATGGAGGCCCCTGGGGCCGCCTCGGGGCATCAGTGGGCAGTTTTTCGGCGAACGTGGGACGTTCTGGTAGGTCCGTCTTGGACGCTCTCAAAACGCAAACGGCGAGTGTGCTGAACATGTACGTTTCCCCAGTGGATTGAAACGAGGTTTGTTTGGGGGGCCTTCGTAGGGGTCCTCGTGGAGCCTTATTGGGGCGTCTTTGAGACCACGTGGCCGGTCTGGACGCCGTCTTGGTTAGGTATGATATCTCTTCGGTTCTCGGCGTATTGGAGGCCAGCTGAAGTAGCATCTTCGGTGTCTTGGAAGGCACGGGGCATAGATTTGGAGGCTCTAGAGGCCCCAGGGCTTTCAGAGCGCCAGCGCAAAGAAGATCGGAGGGCCAGGCTCCGGATGGAGACTGTCGATGGCACGCCGCCTTCGGGAATCCGTCCACGTGCTGCTCCTTCGTTTCTGCCAGGAGACCTGGCGTTTCCTTCAAAAAGTAGCACGCTGATGGGTTTGGCACTGGTCTTGTGAAGGTCTTAGGGCCTGAGCCGCCGACCCAGGAGGACTAAGACCATGACCACGACGACGACTACGACGACAACGACAACGACGAGCTGATGATCCTGCCACAAGCTCGGGAGGGACATGGGGCGGGCGGTGGACGGAGGAGGAGGAGGAGGAGGAGGAGGAGGAGGAGGAGACGGAGACGGAGACGGAGGCGGAGGCGGGGACGGAGACGGAGACGGAGGAGGAGGCGGAGGAGGAGGAGGAGGGAATGGGGGACGGGGACGGGGAGGGGGGTATTTCCCTCAGAACGTTTCGCCAGAGGGTTCTCACAGCTGTCTTCCCTTAATCAAAACAGCACAACTATAAAAAAGGAAACAACAAAACATAAGACTCTCGCAGGGGGGACGGGGAGGTCCAGACCAGACTTCCGCATAATTCGAGCTGTAAGGGATGGGGTTCAATGCAAAGGGGGTCCAGCCAGAGCGCCGGATCTTGCAGGGCCAGGGGTGCATTGACCCTGGCACGGGCGCAGGATCCTGCAGGAACCTGCGGGATTTTGCAGGATCTTGCAGAGCCCCACTGACCCGGGTTTTGGGTTGACCTGGGTCAGTAGGTGCCCGAATGATGTATTCAGGAATCGTGTTGTCGCCCCCATCGCGGCTCCATCTTGGGTCTGGATGGCCACCATCCCGTGCAACAGGTAAATTTCAGTGCGCACGGCCTTGCTCTCACCCCTGTCCCCTATTAGTTGACCTCCTACTCCACGACCCGCCGCTTCACCTTCACTGCCATTCGGGTGCGTTGCTGGGTGGCGCTGCTCCCCCGGTGGACAGAGAAGCGCACCAAAAAGTAAGCGCACACAAAGGCTGAAATGCCATTCACAGGAGGAGGATCACACCAAAGAGCGTGCAACATATCTATTACGCTCCAGGCGGGGCGAACCCGCCCTCGAACCCTGGACCATGAGCTGTGGAAGCGCGCAGTCAATCTAAGCACGGCTGTCGAGAGGTCCAGGGGCCTAAGGAACGCCGTGCGTGTCAGACAGCCGCCAGGCAAACTCGCCTGGGATGTTGGTCCTCCTCCACCACTGCGGTAGGTTCGCGTCGTGTCGACCGGCGGCGACCCCGCCGCCGGCGTTCAATGTTCAATGCCGCTGGCGACCCAGAGTAGGTCGATGTTGGACCTGACGTTTCTGAAACGACCGATCGTTCAAGGTTGAACGATCCATACAGTTCGGGTATAGCCAGGACCCCAGGTAAGGGGACTTGGTTAGTAGGTGGGCCCCGGTTCCTTTAAATTTGCCAGAATCACTAAACCAGGTCTGCCGTAGCTGGTGTTTTTGTTCGGGTGGTGGCAGTTCCGGTTAGTGGCACGGGGCGGGGAGGGCGTCCCCCAGTACACAGCACTAAACCAGGTCCCACTAAACCCAGTTCTGCCAACGCCCGAGCGGTGTCAGGAACCAGCGCCAGTGTCGTTGCAACGTGAACTTGCCGTGGCGTCCCTGCTGCCCTCGCAGCCCTCCGCCTGTACGCGGGTTGCGCGCCCGCGCAGGCCTCCTCCGCCAGCAGCGCGGTGAGCAGCGGAGGGGAGCTGCCCGCCAAGGTCTGCGCCTCGGTCGGGCGGGGGGGGGGGTCGAAGGAGAACAAACGCCATGAACAAGAACTGTTGGCACTCCGCGCGGATTTCTTGGATCCGCGCTGGGATGAGATCCGCGCGGAGCGCCAAAAGTTTGTGTTCATGCCGCTGCTTCTTCTTCTGGGGAGGCCGCTGCTTCTTCTTCTGGGGAGGCCGCGGGGGCCCCTCTGACGGGGGTCCGCCCCGCGGTGGCTGTTTCGCCCCAGCTGCGGGCCTTCCAGGGGCATAGCAGGATCGCTGCTTCGTGTCCTCTCGAGCCTTGGGCCGTTTCTGTGTTCACTTCGCGCTGGGGCGGGCCGAGACGATCTTCACTGGCCTGACCTCTTCTGGCGGTTCTGGATCCAGCCCCTTGTGTTTCTAGCTTCCCTGCAACAGGAACGAGGGAGAATCTGCGGCGGCGACCCCCAGTCCCCCGCTCCACCAGGCCCTGGTAAAAGGAAAGCCAGTGGTCCATCGAGACTCGCAGGCGAGGCCCCCGATACGCTCGAGTCAAGAAGCAAGGACGAGGGCGGAGGAGGAAGATAAAGAAGTACGATTTGGAAAAGGAGATGGAGGATGATGATGATGATGATGATGATGATGATGATGATGATGATGATGATGATGATGATGATGATGATGATGATGATGATGATGATGATGATGATGATGATGATGATGATGATGATGATGATGATGAGGAGGAGGAGGAGGAGGAGGAGGAGGGGAGGGGGAGGGGGAGGGGGGGGGGAGGGAGGGGGAGGAGGAGGAGGAGAAGAGGAGGAGGAGAATGAGGAGGAGATTGCGGAGGATGCTGATGATGAGGAGGAAGAGGAGGTGTGAGGGAGAGGAGGTGGAGGAGGCTGTTTAGTTGAAGAGGGGCCGCCCGCTGCCCCCCATGCGTGGTGCTGTCACCCACATGCGAACAACTATACGATAAAAAGGGTTTCGGCACGGCTTCGGACCCGCGATTTCAAGATTTCTGACAGTTGGGCGCGATGCAACGGTGGTGGTGACATTGATGGCTAGCTGATGGTGGCTGAGGAGTCGGTATGGGACTCCAGGGGGGGGGGCCTCTGATGCCATCTGAAATTCATGATTCATGTCCCTCCCCCTCCTCCTCCTCCTCCTCCTCCTCCTCCTCCTCCTCCTCCTCCTCCTCCTCCTCCTCCTCCTCCTCCCAACCAGAAGCCCCGTTCGGGTCAGAACCAATGAGAATCCACAGACAGTAACGAAAAAAAACAGCACAAACAAAAGAAACACTACTGGGGGACTCCCCCCTCTCCCCCCTCCCCCCATAAAGCTCCCCAGGAGTGATTGATTGTTTGTTTTGGTGTTTGTTCTTACGTTTTCCGAGGGTCGAAGTCGATTCTGCCCCGTAAGGGGATTCTGATTGGGAGGAGGAGGGGGAGGAGGAGGAGGAGGAATAGGATAATGAGGAGGGAGGAGACGGAGGGAGGATGACTAGGAGCGGGAAGAGGATGGAATAGGAGTTGTCAGAGGATGACAGAAGGATGAGGAGGAGGTTGAGGGGTCACTCCTCCTCCTCCCTCACTCCTCCGTCTCACCATTTAGGAGAGACAGGAGGAGGAGTAGGAGTGGTAGAAAGATGATGGTGATGATAATGGTTATGCGCAGGGGAAAAGGAACCACTCCTGAACCTCATCGTCCTTGAACTTCTCATCCTCCTCTTCCTCGCATCACTCCTCCTCCTGATCCTCCGATACCTCCCTCCCGTCCGTCTTCCATATCGGAGACACAAGGAGTAGACTAATGATGCTGAGGGGGAGTAGTGGCATGAGGAGGAAGAGGGGCAATCGGAACAGGATGATGATGATGATGATGATGATGAGACGGAGGCCCAAGCTCTACTTCTGAACATCATTATCCGTCCCCCCCTTCTCCTCTCACTCATTCGTCTCGTCCTTCTCCTCCTCCTCCTCATCCTCCTCCTCGTCCTGCCCATGTTCGTGTGTTCCTTCCTCATAGCGTTCCTCCGCCTCGGTCATGCCAGAAGCGCGACAGGAAAGCTGGAGGAGCATGGGGAGAAGGTGACAAAGAGGAGGAAACGGAATATGAGTAGTATGAGGAGGGGGTGAAGGTTCCGCTCTCCGTTTTGCCCCCCTCCTTACCCCCCTGATCCTCTCACACCTCATTGTCTTCGTCGTCCTCATTACATGGCTCGTCGTCCTCCTTCTCATCCTCCTCCCATCGCCACGATGAACTGACGAGGGGCGGATGGGTGGGGGATATGCGGATGAAAAGGGATATGTGGCAGAGGAGAGGGCAGAGGAGGCGGATGATGTGTAGGATGAAGGGGAGTGTGATACTGAGGGGATAATGAGGAGAATGAGGAAGGGAATGTGATGATGATGATGATGCTGATGCTGCTGATGATGATGAGGATGGTGGTAGTGGTGATGATGATGGTGATGATGATGATGCTGATGGTGACGATGATGATGATGATGCTGATGATGCTGATGGGGAGGAGGAGGAGGCGGAGGAGGAGGAGGAGGAGAAGGAGGAGAAGGAGGAGTGGGAGGAAGAGGAGGAGGAGGAGGAGGAGGAGGAGGAGGAGGAGGAGGAGGAGTGATGGGAGGAGCAGCAGGAGACGTAGGGTAAAGACGAGAAGGATCATGATGATGCTGATGCTGATGCTGCTGATGATGATGATGATGGTGATGACGATGATGATCATGTGATGATGACGATGATGGTGATGATGATGGATGATGATGATGATGATGATGATGCTGATGCTGATGCTGATGCTGATGTGATGCTGATGCTGATGCTGATGCTGCTGATGCTGCTGATGATGATGATGCTGATGATGATGATCATGATGATGATGAGGAGAGGAGGAGGAGGAGGAGGAGGAGGAGGGGAGGAGGAGGAGGAGGAGGAGGAGGAGGAGGAGGAGGAGGAGGAGGAGGAGGAGGAGGAGTGGAGGAGGAGGAGGAGGAGGAGGAGGAGGAGGAGGAGGAGGAGGAAGAAGAAGAAGAAGAAGAAGAAAAAGAGGAGGAGGAGGAGGAGCAGGAGGAGGTTCGTGGCGGGCACTGGATAGGGCGATAATGAGGCAAACGAGGATGAGGATGATGAAGGCTGCGATCGTGTTTTGGAGGAGTGACGCTTACCCCCACGAGGGGGCCCCGACTCTGCGACCCTCGGCTCCGAGGAGCCCCCGAGGCGGACCCGACCCTCGGCCCCGAAGAGGCCCCCAGGCGGACCCGACCCTCGGCCTCCCGGGCGGCCCCGGGGCCGCCGGAAACTGCTCGAGGGCTCCAAGGGGCCACGAGGGGCCACGACCCTCCGACGGGGGCCCCGACCCTCCGAGTCTCGACCCTCCGACGGGGGCCCCGATGGGGGCCCCGACCTTCCGATCCTCGACCTCGAGGGGGCCCCGACGGGGCCCCGACCCCCGACCCCTGGGGGTCTGGGGCCGAGGAGGGGAAGGGAGGCGGCGGAGGAGGAGGAGGAGGAGGAGGAGGAGGAGGAGGAAGAGGTCGTCTTCGGCCTTTAGTGCCGTTCTCGAGCACCCGCCCCCCCCAGAGGTCTGGGAAAAGCGGGGGGTCGACCCCGAGTTTGCTTTCGATCCCGGTCGGGTTCGGCTGGTTCGGTTCGATGGTTGGTTCTCGGTCTTCGGTCCGGTTCGCGGCCATCATGGTTTCGTGGCCAGTCGTCGCCGTCGTGCGAGGCTTCGATTCCGATTCCTGTTCCGGCCCGAAGGGCTGCTGGGTTTCCTATTCCGGTCCGATCCGATGCGCAGTTATCCTGTGGTTCCCAATCGGGTATGCCGCCGATCCGATTTCGAGTTTCCGATTTGGTGGAGGGTCGGCTTGTATGGAAGGAGGAAGAAGAGGAGGAGGAGGAGGAGGAGAGGGAGTGATATGAGGACGAGGAGAAGGAACAGTTACCTGAGTTCAGCGAGGAGAAGTTAGATTTTGATGATGATGATGATGATGATGATGATGATGATGATGATGATGATGATGATGATGATGATGGTAATGGTGATGGTGATGGTGATGGTGATCATGATCATGATCATGATCATGATCATGATCATGATCATGATGATGATCATGATGATGATGCTGATGATGACGATGATGATGATGCTGATGATGAGGAGGAGGAGGAGGCGGATGATGATGATGATGAGGAGGAGGATGATGATGCTGATGTTGATGTTGATGCTGATGATGTGGAGGATGATGACGATGATGATGACGATGACGATGACGATGCTGATGATGATTATGATGAGGATGAGGATGAGGATGAGGATGAAGATGAGGATGATGATGAGGATGAGGATGAGGATGCTGATGATGATGCTGATGATGATGATGGTGATGATGATGATGATGATGATGATGATGATGATGATGATGATGATGATGATGATGAGGCTCAGGAGTCATTATTCTTCGTTATGCTGCTTCTATCAGTCTTCATCCTCCTCATCACCCTCCTTCTATCACTCCTGCTCATCCTTCTCGGCCTCATCTTATTTCTCATACATGAGACGCAGGGTGGAGGAGGGGAGACGGGATGATGGTGAGGATTGTCCCTTCAAGCACCTCGCCATCCGCCTCCTCGTGTTTATCCCCCTTGGGCGGCTCCTCTTCCTCCCTCTCCTCCTCATCATCTTCATCCCTCCGTCTCCTCCCTCCACGTCTGCCTTCCATGTGAGAGATATGAGGAGGAGGAAGATGAGGAGGAGGAGAGGGAGGAGGAGGAGGAGGAGGTGGAGGAGGAGGAGGACGAGGAGGACGAGGAGGACGAGGAGGAGTAGCATGAGTGATCGAACGATGAGGACGAGGAGGATTGATGGGAGCAAGATGAAGAGTAAAGCAAAGAGGAGGAGGAGGAGGTGGAGGAGGAGGAGTAGAGGAAGATGGAGGAGGAAGATGGAGGAGGAGGAGGAGAAGGATGAGGGAAAGAAAGGCAGGAACTCCGAGCGCGGAGGAGGGCCGAAAGCCCGCCACATCCATGATGGTGAATTTCTCTCTCTCTCTCTCTCTCGCTCGCTCTCCCAACTCGCAGCTTCTTGCCCCCAGAGCGCCAACAAGGCCCCGCAGGAGTCCATCGGCAGGAGCTCACTCCCCGCCAACCACCACCACCCGTTGTGCAGAAATCTGCAACCGCCGGGGTCCGCAAACCGAATCGAAATCCAACAGCGTAAGTGATTCAAGATGGATTCCTTTACTCCTTTACTCCAGCTCCGTAGTAATCAATTCTTTGGTCGTTCTGCCATTCGGAGGTAGCGCTCCCCTAACTGAGGTTGAGAAGGGTTGCCTGGTTGGAAAGACCAATCGTGAATGCACCAAAATATCCCCAGGCAGACTCGATCGTTGGCCTTCTCTTCCCCCACGTCCCCCCCCTCTCCTCAAGATCATCGTGTTCGTGCCGTTTCTGTCGCTTCTTGCCCTCTCCTGTCCATCTCCTTTCCTTACCTTTCCTTCCCACTGTGGGTCTGGACTCCCAGGCCGCGACCCCATGGATACAGGGCAGCTTTGCGCGGAGGCTCCGCGCGGAACGTGTCCATGGCATCGCGTTGCCATGGGGGTCGCGCATCGCAATCCTGACCGTGAGGACACGGACATGGCCCTGGTCGCCGCCCGTGATCTCATATCCTCCGCTCCTCCGCCCTGCCTCCCCCTGTTCTCCCCCTCCTCCCCCCCCCGCTTCCCCCGGCGCTGCCTGGAGGGGAGGTGGTCCGGGAGACGTTCGCCGCAGGAGCGAGACCGAGGTTCGAGTCCGCAAACTCCATCCCGCGAGGCTTCGCGCCGCTCCGCGCCAACTGGGGGTCCCGCCCCAGAGGTCCCGACCTCTGCCTCTCATCAACCTGGGCCGGAAAGGGCTCGCTGGCTGCAGGCCGCCAGAGTGGGGTCGTGAGGTGAGGGGGGTCGGAGGAGCACGCGGCATCGGTGATGCGGCGCGATTTGGAGTGGCGTCGCCCATGCATCCACGATTCGGCGCGATGCCCCGACCCCATCTACCAGTGCCCGAGTTGGGAGCCAGGAGCCCCGACGTCATACTCCCGGGTGCCCTCGATTTGGACCTGGAGGGGCTCCCTGGTGGGGCTTGTTGTCGCCTCCGTACGATATGTATCGCTGCAGGGACAGAACAACATGGGACGAAGACCAACAGCAGTTCCTGCTCATTTCGAACAGGAGTTGCTGTCGTTGTCGCCGCGGGCGCTGCTGGGGAAATCAAAGGTACTAATACCGCTACTCCCTGGACCTCTCCCAGGGTGCGTTCTGACCAGAATCTCGAGGCGACTCCAGCGGTGCCGACGAGGGCCTCCCAGGAGGCCGAAAAGGGGGAGAACTGGCGAAGGGTAGCGGTAGGGGTACCTTTTCCTCCTCTAAGTTGCAACATCGTCCCAGACCCCCCGACGTAATGACTTTTTCAAAACGTCCACCCTCAGAGGTTTCGACCCATTCCCCGGCACCTGCTTCTCATCCCGAGTCGTTTCTTGTCGGTCCCGAGACCCAGTAGGGGGGCCCCCAGGGGCCGAAAATGGCGCAACGCCTCCTGCCATGAGTTTTTTCATTACTCGAGGGGGTCTGGGGAGTTCTGCGTATTGGAGGATGACGATTAATAAATGACCGGGGGTCGTGTTCACGCGGCGGCGCCCGGGATGATAATTAGAAAAAACCGGCCGCGGGCTGGAAAACTATGTTTTTTAATCGTTCTCCTCCAGCCAGAAACTCTGTACCGAAATAGCAGAACGCTATTTTTTCAATCGTTCTCTCCCATTTTTTGTATTCATCGTCATCCCGCATTACATCAGTTTCCGAAGTCCGGCTTTGGCGGCTCGGCGCGGGCGGACCCTGCCGTGAAGGCGCCCCGCGGGCGGGGGGCCGGCGGATCTCGGCGGACAGGCTCCCGGCCCGCTGCTCGGCAGGCCTGCAGAGGCGCGGGGGCGGGCGCGGGGGCGGGCGCGGGGGGGGGGCAGTCAGGGCGCTGGCCTCCTCCGCCTCCGCCTCCTGCTCCGCCTCCTCCTCCTCCGCCTCCTCCTCCGCCTCCTCCTCCTGCTCCTCCTCTTACTCCTCCTCTTCCGCCTCCTCCTCTGGGTTCAGGACGACGACGACGAGCAACGACGACGACGACGAGCAACGACGACGAGCGACGACGACGACGACGACGACGACGACGACGACGAGCGACGACGATGATCAGCGACGAGCGACGGCGAGCGACGAGCGACGACGAGCGACGGCGACGAGCGACGACAAGCGACGACGAAGAGGACGGCAAGCGGTGACGCGACGACGACGACGACGACGACGACGACGACGGCGACGACGTGCGACGACGACGACGACGACGACGACGACCGACGACCGACGACCGACGACCGACGACCGACGACGACGACGACGACGACGAGCGACAACGACGACGACGACAAGCGACGACGATGACGAGCGACGACGCCGACGTGCGACGACAGCGACGACGACGACGACGACAAGCGACGACGACGATGATGACGAGCGACGACGGCGACGAAAGACGACAGCGACGACGACGACAAGCGATAACGACGACGAGCGACGACAGCGACGACGACAAGCGACGACGACAACGACGACGACAACGACGACGACGACGATGACGAGCGACGGCAACGACAAGCGACGACAGCGACGACAGCGACGACAAGCGACGACGACCACGACGACGACGATGACGAGCGACGACGACGACGACGACGACGACGACAACGACGACGACGACAAGCGACGACAGCGACGACGACGACAAGCGACGACGACGACGACGACGACGACGACGACGACGAAGGCGGCGCGCCTCGGTGGGTGCGCGCCGCGGCCCCCGTTACCGTTACCCCCCCTGGCCCCCCCCCAGGGCACCATGTGTCATCCCCCAGGAATAATTAAAAAACAATGGTATCATGAAGACCGCGTTGGGTTCAGGACGGGCCCTGGTTTTCGAGCCGGTCCTGCGGTCTCGGTCTCGGGGCTTTCTCATGACTTTCGCCCGTGGTCAGGGAAGCCATTTCGCTTCTCACAGTCAGCCCTGTCAGTAAGCATTATCGACTCCCTGAGAGTACCCTCATTGATTCCTTGCGTCTTCGGTCCTCTTCGGTACAGCCCCGGGCACTCTGAATGGCCAGCCCCGCTCGAAGAGCCTCGGCAGGGGCTTCCGAGGCCCCTGTATCCTTGCCGCGCATCCTTACTGCATGGGTTGACTGTGCTTGGCGTTCCTGATGGCAGCGCGATGGCGGTGCTGACCACGTGCCTGCCGCCGCAGGTGCCGCCTCCGCGGGGGCAGCCGCCCTCGGGGAAGCCCTCCTCGGGGGGCAGCACGGGAGGACCCCCTCTTCCCGCCAGCACCTCTGACGACCTGCGCGCCGCGGGTTCAAAATATGCTCATCGGCCACGCACAGAGGGGAGTAGGGGTAGGGGGGAGACTTCTGATGATGCAGAAGCACCCCTGCTTTTTAGAAGGCGTGGGCCTCGTCTGCAGAGGCAGGGCCAGCGCCTTCTAAGAAGCAGCCTTCTTCTAAGAAGCCTCCCTCCCTCCCTCCCTCCACCCCCTTGTGCGCACGCCAAGCCAGGTGCTGGTGACCGCGACCGGTGCCTCGCACAGTAAAGCGCGTCGTCGCGCTGCCAGGCCACGACGCAGCGCAGAGAGGAGGAGGATGCGGAGGAGGAGGAGGAGGAGCGGGAGGATGATGACGAGGAGGAGAAACGACGGGGAGAATGTATGTCCATATCGCTGGCGCTGCCGGCCTGTCCCCCCCCCCGCGGAAGGCTCTGGTGGGTGCTCGCCATCGCCGGGAGCGGAGCTCGGGCTTGAGGGCTTGAGCTGGCGGTCCCGCGCTGGCCTTCTCCAGCCCGCGATACTTCTTACCGCGGGTGGCCTCCTGCAGGAAGGCTTCGGGCGGCGCGCAGACAGCCACCCCACAGGTCGGGCCCGCTGGCCTCCACAGGCCCCCCCCCGGGTAGCCCCCGCTGGCCTCGACAGGCCGCCCGAGTCGTCCAGGGCTGTCTCAACACCAGGCGCCGCATCTGGCGGTGCCCCCTCATGGGGCGCTCCGCGCCCCAGGGTTGAGACCGCCGGGGGCTGCTCATTGGGCCTGCTGAGGCCAGCTGGGACTGCTGAGGCCAATTGGGACTCCTCTAGGGGCCAGCTGAGGCGAGGCCGTCCGTGCGCAGCCCCCGAAGCCCTACCGGCCTCCTCGTGGAGGTCTTTCAGGGGCTCGAACGGCCTCAGCCAGGCAGCGTGCCGTCGGCATCAGGTGGGCACAACGCAGGCTGACCTCGAGGCGTTTCAGTGTGGGCTTGACCTCCGATGGCTCGAAGGAGGCATCTCCTCCTCGGCGGAAGGCTGGCGGAGGTGAAACGAGAGCGCCTCTCCGCCGGCGAAGGCTCGGCGGAAGGCGGCGGACGCAGATTGAGCCCCCCTCGGCGGAAGGGGCGATGCGCAGGGTCAGAAATCTGATACCGTCGGCTTCGTGCTCGGCGTTTTCTGGCCCTGCCGCCTGGGCGAGGATGTACAAGGGTAGTTGGTTGAACTGTGAAATGTTGCGGTCGGACCTGCACCAGCACGTTGTTCTGCATCCCCTCAGGACGCCCCGACCTGTCCCCAGCACCGGAGTGGTTTTCGGCGTTTTTTTCGGGGGGGGCTTCGGAGGTCTGTCAGGGGGTGCCGGCGTCGGGGCAGCAGCTCCGGCATCCAGGGGGATGCAGGGTCAGCCTCGGTGAAGCCCTGCATCACCCTTCGGCCACGAAGCTGGTCACACATGGCGCGGCCGGCCTGGGCGAGAGCTGGGGATGCAGGGGGGCAGCCTCGGTGAAGCCCTGCATCACCCTTCGGCCACGAAGCTGGTCACACATGGCGCGGCCGGCCTGGGCGAGAGCTGGATGCGCATGTGGCCAGGCGTCTTTCCAGAGGTCGCCCCTTCCGTGGCCGCGGACAGCGGCCCTCCACACGTGCGTCCAGCGCGTGACCTCCCGACGATGCACATGGGAATCCAGCCACGGCGTGTTCCCAGACATCCTGCCGTCTGGAGAAATTCGAGACGGCGTTTTTTATATGTTGTTCTGCCTCTCGGGGCTATCACCAGGCCTCGGGACCTTTCAACCACGATTCCCGATGAAAAACCGGCCCCGGGGAAGTGGTCGAGAGGTCGGGTTCCTTTAAAGTTTCGAAAGAAATCGAGACGCCGGATACCTGGGTTTCCAGCTTCCTGCCAGACGGAGGCTTGCCTGACTCTTCCACTGCATTCCGAGGAGGTCCCAAGATCCCCGGAGGCCTCCAGCGCGCCCCAGAGGCCCCAAGACGGCTAGGAACGTCCAACAGCCTCGATCCACCTCCTCAGTGGAGTAAGCAGCAGGAGGGAGCAAGAGAGGGCAGAGGAGAGGCACAGCAAGAGCCCTGCCGCGATGCTCGGGGGCACTTCTGATGCTCCCTGGAAGTCTCCGGGCGTTCCCCCGGATCCACTCGGAGACCCTCGCATGCCCGCCGGGGAGTCCGGGAGCCTTCCCGGATCATTGGCGGTCCGTGCCGACCTGGCCGATCCAGCAGCTGCCGGCTGCCCGCGTCGCCCACCCGGCCGCTGCCGCCCAGCCTCGCGCCCGCCCGTGCGTGCCCCCGCGCGCCCGTCCGCCGTGGGGGCCGCACGCCGCGCACGAGCGCACCGCGGCCCGGAGTCCTGCGGGGGGGGGCCATCTCCAGGGCGTCCTGGACTTTCGTGGAAGGGGCGCCGCAAGGCCGAGGCGCACTGGATATGGACAAGTTCGAGCCTCTGGTAGGGGCCTGATTTTTATCCATGTCCAGTGCTCCTCGGCTTTCTGGGGAAGGGAGCCCGAAACCCCAAGCTGCAGTGGATATGGACACAAGTTTTACCCGCGGGAGGGGGGGGGGGGCAGGAGGCGGCATCGCAGGTCCGCCTGGGGGGGGGCCTTCGCAGCTACAGGCGGGCCGTGCGGGTGCGCCGAGGTCTCGGGGGACCCTCCGAGGTCTCCGCCGGGACGGGCGTGGGCGGGTGGGACGCAGGGCGCACGAGGTGGCAGGTGGCAGATGGAGGGAGGGCGGAGGAGGACGGAGGATGAGGCGGGTGGATGGGGACGGAGGAGCAGTAGGCGGGTGGATGGGGACGGAGGATGAGGCGGGTGGATGGGGACGGGGGGAGGGTGGAGCAGGGAGGGCGAGAGGGCAAGGAGGCAGAGGTCGCAGTCCCGACGTCTCATGTTGCTCTCCAGTCCGCCATGCCCACGAACAAGCAATACTATCTCGACGGCGCTTCCGACCAGCTTGTCCGAAATCGTCGCAAACATGCGCGGCAGGACGCTGACGCGGACGCTTTTTCGAAGTTGTTGCAAAATTGGGTGGCAGGGATCTGACGCGGCTCGCATCGCGATCGAAAAGTCGTCGTGCTGTTCTGGCCCTGGCGCTGCGTCTCCTGAGAGAGGAGCTTCCGCTTTAGTGCAGTGTGCTAATTGTGCTGGTTTGCCAAATCATCGTCGGAGCGGGGCCGGCGGCCGAGAGAGGGCGACCTGCCTCGGGCATAGCCAGGACCCCAGGTAAGGGGGCCCGGTTAGTAGTATAGGGCCCAGGAGCCCCTGCACTGGCCAGAATCACAGGTCCGCCTTAGCTGCTGTTTTTCGGGGGACGGCAGGTCCGGTTAGTGGAGCGGGGCCTGGGGGGCGCTCCCCAGTACACTTCAGTCGGGCGTGTCCCCCTACAGGGGGATTGGGCGATAAATAAAAGATATTCGAAAAATGCACCCACAATGCTCAAAAATAGTAAAAAATCGTCCCCATTGTATCTTTTGTCTTACTTTTGAGTAGGGACAGGCCCGACATAACGGTACACGTCTCGAAACCAGGTCCCACTAGACCCAGTTCTGCCAACGCCCGCCGCCCGTGTGCCCGTGCGCCGTGCAGGTCGTTCTGGAAAGTTGCCCTCCTGCTTTGGCGCGGCGCATGCTTCCCCTTCGCCTGCCCGCGGTTGTGCTATAGCATTGAGCTCGAAGAAAAAAAACGACGTGAACGTCAACTTTCGGAGCTCCGCGCTGATGTCTTGGATCCGCGCTGGGGCCCCCCCCCCTGCGGCGCCTCCAGCGCCGCCCCTGGTGCGCTCCGCGCGCCAGGGAGGGGGGTGCAGCGCAGACCCAAGAAATCCGCGCGGAGCGCCAAAATATGATGCTTATGGCGTTGATTATTTCATGTTTTTTCTAGGCTCTGTCAAGTTTACCTGCATGGACGGGGGGGGCTGAGACTGAAGCAGGCCGCAAACGACGTGCGGAAGCCACGCAAGTCGAGAGGCACTTGCACGCTCATGTTCGACTGAAGAGGGGCGAGGGGGGGGGAGCGAACGCCATGCAAGTAAACTTGCTTGAATCTGAAGAAAAACATGCTCTCTCTATCAAAAAGTATGCATCTAAAGTTATATGTGTACATATATACGGAGGGAGCTTAGGAGTGGACGGGGCGGCGCACGCTGGCTCGTTTGAGATGGCGACTTTGACTCGGGCTCTCGATATCCTGCCCTTTTCCTGCTTCGCCCCCCCCCCCCCCGGGCGGCGTCGGCGGGAGAGGCAGCTGTCGACGTCTCCACTGGCTTCCACGTCGCGGTTGGCGCCATCCACACAGATGCGACACTTTTGCATGTGCCTCTCCCGATGTGCACCTCTCTCTCTTTCTTTTTCTCTCTCTCTCTCTCTCTTTCTTTTTTTGTGTTTCTCTCTCTCTCTCTCTCTAGTAGCCGTGTGGTGTACACACGGCGGGGCTCTCGGGCTGATGGAGGCGGGTGGCGCGGACCCCTTTTCTAATCGCCCCGAGGGCCTCCCTCTAGACCTCAGCCCAGGCGCCTCTGCAGCTTGCTGATGTGTGTAGCTCTCGTTGGCTCTCCCTCCTACCCTCTCCATCTCTTCCCTCTCTCTCTCTCTTTCTCCTCTTTCTCTCTTTCTCTGTAGTTTTTTATTTCTCGTTCTCGTTCTCTCTGTCTGGTCTCTTTCTCTCTCTCTCTCACAGTATCAGTCTCTCTCTCTCTCTCTCTCCGGTCTCTCCGTGTCTTTCGTTATTTATTATGTATGGTTCTACCTCACGCTCTCTCTCTCTCTCTCACTCTCTCTCTCTCTCGCTGTCCCTCTTGGTCCCAATTAGTTGCTTATGTATTTCTGAGTCGACGGGCCAAGCTATACTCTTCGCCGGACCATGCTGCATCGTCCAGATCATTCTTGCTTGCTGCCGATGTTCTGAATCATGTGTGCCGCTGTGGGAAGGCCAAGTTGCGGGGCGGCACGGCAGCGTTGTGCGCCCCATCGTCCTCTTACTCCCCTTTCCGTTCCGCCCGCTCCCGCATCCGTCACTCTTATGTTCCACAACCCCCTCATCTTCGTGCTACACTGGCCGACAGGTCCCCAGAGTCGGATTGTTCCCAGGCTCGAAGCGGCATTTCCCCCGTTCTTGGCCGCGGTCCTTCTCGGGGCAGCACCCTTCCCAAATGAGGATCTTAGTGCAGAGTGGGGACTTTCGCTGAGGGCCGTCGGAGGGTCTGTTGCCGCTCCTCCTCCTCATCCTCCTCCTCCTCCTCATCCTCATCCTCGTCCTCCTCCTACTCTTCCTCCTCCTCCTTATCCTCGTCCTCCCTCATCCTCCTCATCCTCTCTCCTCTTCCTCCCTCCCTCCTCCTTCTCTTCCCTCCTCCTCCCTCCTCCTCCTCCTTCCTCCTCCCTCCTCTTCCCTCCGTACCCTTTCTCCTCCTCCTCCTCCTCTTCCTCCTCGTCCTCCTCCTCCTCGTCCTCCTCATCCTCTTCCTCCTCCTTCTCCCCCATCCTGCCTCAAGGCATTTTGGCTTGAGCCGGCCCCCAGAGGCCACGCGGGGGCCGAGGCAGCAGGGCGCGCACCATCGGCGGCGGCGGGCGGGGGCTCTGTGTACGTCGGTTCGCAGCTTGAGGAGGACGGCAAGACAGTGCCGTTGCAAACATTCTTGCTGCCCCAAGTACATGACCCGAGGCCAGGGCTGGCAAGGGCAAGTTGCGCAAGCGCCATGAGGATCCTCATGGCGCCGAGGCTCACGTTCGATCAGAAGGCCTCCGAACACCAGGGGCCAAAAGGTCTACGCAATACTTCGTCTGCCCGGCGCGTCCCATTGGCAGTGCCAATAGGGTCTATTGCAGCCCTGCTGGGAGGCCAGAGTGCACCCATTGTAAGACTTTTGGGCATGAGTGGAAGCCGGAAGATCCACAGGGCCACGCAGGCCCCGACGATTGAGGAGAACAGCTGGCTGGACGTGACGACGGCCCCGTGGTGGAGTTATTCGAAGAGCAGTATCTCGACGCCAAGGACCGTTCCGACCAGGACAAGATGGACGAGATCACAGCAGCCTGTCCAGCGGCAGTGCCCAGAGAACCAGCATAACCAGCAGCACCCTCTATTGGACAGAAGCTACAGGAGGCCGTGGCGGATCTCAAGCGTGTGCAAAAGTAGCAAGACAAGCTGGCTGAGCAGCTCAAAAGAGCCACCGAGTACCGCAACGACGTGCTCCGCAAGGTCAGCAGACACGCAGCGACTTTGGCAGAAGCACGTCGCATCATCCATGGAGCGAAAGCAGGAATGGGAGATAGCGAAGACCAAATAACACGTGCTTGCCAGAATCCAGACGAGGCTGGAGCAGATGTCATTCTCTTCTCATCAGAAGAGGTCGACACGCTGGACCAAACGCAGAAAGCGCAGCACCATATCATCCAACAGGACTACCAGGAGGCCGAGCAACCCATCACCGAGAAGAAAGAGGCCGTCCAGAACGACAAGGATGTTCTCGACGTGGTCACGAAACTCCAGACCACTGCGAAGGCATCCAGGCGGCGCAGGGGCGACGATGGCGAAGACGTGGAAATCAAAGCAGCAGCAGTGGCAGGACCAGCAGTAACGGGTGCAACATCACCTGCTAGAGAGCCAGGACAATGCCTACAGAGCCCGAGATCGCGCCTGCCAACCAGTGCGACCTCTCGAACGAAAAACAGGTCCAAGCCTACCTCGTGTAGTTCGCGACGAGCAAGGCTCGGGACAAATCGGCCACAGCTGCGCGACAGTCGGCGCCGGCGGCTCCGGGAATCAGCGGGTCAGGGTAGCATCGCCAGCCAGACCTACCTAGACAGCGAGGGCGGCGACGCCTTCCTCGCACTACAGGGCCTGCTGCGAAGGGGGGCGAGCATGAGGTTGCCAGTGCTGCCAGTCAGCAAGGCCAGCCCCCACTCGCGGCAGCCCTTCGTCGAGGGCCAGAACCGCTTCAGCCAGGCTGGCCCATCGGAAGTCTGTCTGGATCGACGACGAGGTTCGCTACGTCGACTAGAGTCTGCCCACCCATGCTGACGGCGAAAGTCGCGCCGCGCCTTCGCATGTCACAACCGCGGGGGGCCCTTCGCGCGCAAGGCAGTTCTTGGATAACGAAGTTTGCGCCGACCAGGCCTGCTAACTGCCGGCGAGGGGCCGACCGTTAAATTCCTCGGGACCAGCCGCGCGAAGCACAACGAGGCCGCCGAGAAGATTGTCGGGGGCGAGAAGCGGAGCGCCTGCGATTTGATGGCCTTCGGCGAGCACCGCGTGCGTAGGCCAGCAGCTGAGATCGAGGCCGACGGGTTGATGCCGCACCGATGGAGGCCGCCGCCCACATGGACTCTTAGGAGACAGCCGCGGAGATCGAGAAAGGGCGTGCTCGGATGCGCACGTATATTCACAAGGCGCCACCTGGGTGCCAGGATTTACCTGCCAGACGCGCAGGGCCGCAGCATCTTCGCTGAGGAGTTTCGCGATATTTCGATGGTTAAGTGGAGGCTCGAGGGACAGGAGGTCGCCTTCATTGCGGCATGCATCACAGCGCCCACGGGTTTCAGCAACGAGAACGCCAGGAATGCGAAGCACGTGTGCGCAGCATTGACGATGCACTTTGGATGTGCTGCGGGGACTTCAACATTTCGCCCAGGAACTCGCGGGTACCCCTTGGCTACAGATATTGGGAGGCGCCGCGGCGGTGGCGCCGCGGCGCGTGAGTCGCGCTTGCAGCAGCGCATCTGGGAGGTCGATCGAGCGCGCGGTCACCCCGCCGCAACTTCGACCTCCTCTCAATGCGACGCGAGCAATGCGCGGAGTATCGTCGGCACCGCACAGTGGACTGGCGATCGAAATGTGGACCCGACCCGCGGGCGGTATGATCTGAGAGCCCGCGCTCGCAGCCAAGCGCCAGATACTGACGATAAGACATGAAGCGCAAGCGACGTCGCCGGCAGCGGCGCCGGCGGATGCAGCAAATCGGCGACGACACCAACCAGAATAATGAGACCCTCTTCGACGCCCACTTCTCAGGGGCAGTGCCCGCGCAGAGCGGTCAGCAGATACGGGGCCGGCGCCGAGAACGAGCGGGGGGCGCCTCAGTGGACGTAGAATTCGCCGTCGTAAAATCAGGATTCGAAGACGAGCGAACACTTGGGCAAGTTGCATAGCGAATGGGCGAATGCAGCAGAACGCGCATTGGCCGAGACTGCGGGGTCGCCACTCGGGCCACGAGCCCGACATGGGCAACCTGCCAGATATTGCGAAGTGCCGCGCCCGCAGCACACCAGTGGCAAGTAGAGCGAGACCACCAAGATGGGGCAACATCAGAAGGCCAGCGCACTCTGGAGCGCAGCGCAGCAGCGGTGCAGGACGGATTACTCATACTTCAGCGGCGCCCGCAGGGCGGCCGTAACCACCTGCACAGCATAATCGGCTCATTCACGAACTTGACGGATCAGGTCAGCCACCTGGGAGATTCGGGAGTAGCCGAGACGGACTACCTAGACCAGCAGGCGCGGTTTCTTGCTCAGCGGGCTTGCAGTGGAACCGAGGCGTGGTGGGCTTGCAATCTACGACGTGATTATGAGCCCGAAGTAGCGTTTGAAACTGTCAGGGAATGAGCAGATGCACGCGAGGCTGTTCAAGCACGCGCCGAATGGCATGTAGGACACGCGGAGGAGAGCGCACGACCAGGTGGCACAAGGGAGACGCGCAGCGCTATCAGGCAGCATGAAAGGCGCGCAAAGATACGCGGGCAAATGCGAACGACGGGATCTACCAGGGACGGCAGTGGACCCCATCAGCAAGGAAGAGACCCGAGCCGCGAGAGAAACAACATAATGCAGAGCATAAGTTTGGCAGACAATATGGCAGCGACGCAGTAATCGAGAACATCTGGATGCGTGAGGTGCGAAACTACAACGGGCAACTCAAGGCGCACTTACATTTCGCAGGTGCTATAACCTCGAAGATCTCGAGGCAGCAATTCCGAAATTCATACTTGCGACGGCGAGAGGAGTTGACCACTGGCAGCTTCTCGAATTTGAAGCCTTGCCCACAGACGCCACGCGCAGCCCGGCATTCGACATCAATTCCGCGAAGAGAATATTTGCCGACCGCGCTTGTTCCACCGCGCGGTGCCAACCATCAGTCGAATCAGGATGAAGTACAGCAGAAGAGGAAATACCCATTGGCCCATTACCCTTCCTCGTGCGACTTTAGGGGCAAGATGCCGAGAGCATGAACGCAGGGCTGGCGCGCGGAAGTGGCCAGCCATTGAGGCGCTGCAATTCAAGGCTCATCAGCAGCAAGGGCAGCC